ATCAAATCAATCTCCCTCACATTCATGATTTCAGCGCTCGCCTCTCGGGAACTACCATCTTCTCTAAGCTGGATCTGATGGCCGCCTATCACGAGATTCCAGTAGAACCAAGTGACATCCCAAAGCCGGCCTTGACAACGCCTTTTGGCCTCTTTGAATTTGTTCGTACGCTGTATGGACTGAAGAACGGGGCACAAACTTTCCAGCGTTTCATGAATGAGGTCACTCGCGGGGTGCTCTTTGTTTTTGTCTACTCAGACGACATTTTGGTCGCCAGCGAAACGCCAGAGGAGCATGAAAATCACCTGCGCCTCCTCTTCAAGCGTCTTGGCAAGCACGGTCTAGTTTTAAGCCCCAACAGTGCATCTTTGGTGTTAAAGCACTAGATTTCCTAGGTCATCGAATCAGCCCACAAGGCATTTTGCCGCTCGAATCACGGGTGCAAGCAGTCAGGGAATTCCCCACGCCTACCTCTTTCAACAAGTTGCGTGGGTTTCTTCTTCTAATCAACTTCCATAGGCGCGTCATCTCATCCTGTGCACACATTCTACAGCCGCTAACTGACTTGCTCCGGCAGGATTGCAAGAAAACGCCCGAGTTTCACTGGTCAGCGGAGCACGAAAAAGCCTTCCAGGACGCGAAAACTCAGCTTGCCTCCGCAACACTTCTGATTCACCCGCTTTCCGACGCGCCAACGCGGCTCATTGTTGACGCTTCAATGGCGGCAGTGGGAGCAGTGTTGCAACAATACGACGGCAAAGACTGTAAACCGATAAGTTTCTTTTCTAAACGTCCGAAACAGGTGGAAGTGTGCTACAGCACCTTTGGAAAAGAGATGCTGGCCATTTATTCCTTCGTAAAGCACATCCGTTTCTTCCTAGGAGGCCGCATTTTCCACACTTTGACGGACCACAAGCCGCTGACTTATGCGTTCAAGAACAACAGTTCCTCATATTCGAAAAGATAACTGCGTCAACTTTCTTTCATTTCCGAATTTTCCCCGGACATCCGCCACATAGCGGGGAGCGAAAACCAAGCAGCCGACGCACTCTCCCGTATCGACACCGTTTCAGCGTCCGTCGACTTTGAGACATTAGCCGCCGTCCAGTAGGAATATCCAGAGCTAACCGAGATGAAGCAGAGTCTACTGTCACTGGTGCTCGAAGAGATCCCGCTACCATACACAACGACTATGGTCACATGCGACACATCGCAGAAATCTCCAAGACCCTTCGTCCCCGTTCAGTTTCGGCGTGCAGTGTTCGACAGCCTTCACGACCTCAGCCACCCAAGAATCCGCGCGACACAGAGGCTTGTCACTGACCGCTTTGTGTGGCCCGGAATTAACGCTGACGTTTGACTCTGGGCGAAGACGTGCCGAACATGTCAAGCAGTCAAGGTGACTCGTCACACGCGCAGAGCACTCCAAGCATTTCGGCCACCAGAGTGTCGTTTCGACCACGTGCACTTGGACTTGGTAGGACCTCTTCCTCCTTCTCAGGGTTACAGATACCTGCTCACTTGTGTAGACCGCTAGTCACGGTGGCCCAAGGCGACGCCGATTCTGGACATCGCAGCCAGGACCGTCGCACAGGCGTTTGTGGCCACATGGGTTTCACGCTATGGCTGCCCACTGTGCATAACGACCAATCGTGGACGACAATTGCAGAGCAACCTATTCTCTGCGCTGGCAAGGCTTCTGGGAACATGACTTCAGTACACCACAGCTTACCATCCAGCGAGAAATGGAATGATGGAGCGGCTACACCGTCAACTGAAGGCATCTTTAACGGTCAAGCTGGATAGAGAGCACTGGGTGGAGAAGCTCCCTCTCGTTCTTCTGGGCCTGCGTATGGCGATAAAAGACCTTGGATTCTGTGCAGCAGAAATGCTGTACGGCTCTACGATCTGACTACCGGGAGAATTCTTCGGTGAGAAACCTAGTGCTACGCCGACGCCTTCAGAACATATGGAAAGGCTACATTCCTGGTTGGAGCACCTGCAACCCAGCGCGCCACGCGTCAGCCGCAACCAAAGAGTGTTTTCTTTCCCAGACATGAATGAGGCAACCCATGTGTTCGTGCGACGTGGCACAGTGAAAGCGCCGTTGACTCCAGTGTACGACGGGCCCTTCCGTGTGCTTTCGCAGTCGCACAAACTGTGACCATTCGTGTTCGCGACAGATAGGACGTCGTTTCTCTCGATCGCGTGAAACCGGCTCACCTCATAGACTAACTCGCACATTTGCTTGTTTTTTTCCCAGGCTCCGCGGTCTAGGGGGGGACCCCTTGTAACGGGCGATGACGCCGGTGATCGCGATAATTTTATTTGTGAGGCGCACGGCGCAGACGCGACCAACATGCCTCACGTTATCTACGGAGGGCCGTGGAAGATACGCAGCCACGCCCCTTTTGATTGTCGCTTTCGAAGCCTGTTTTTCTTAGAAAAATATTGATTGATATGTGGGGTTTAACGTCCCAAAACCACCATATGATTATGAGAGACACCGTACTGGAGGGCTCCGGAAATTTCGACCACCCTGGGTGCTTCTGCGTGCACCCAAATCTGAGCACACGGGCCTACAACACTTTAGCCTCAATCGGAAATGCAGCCGCCGCAGCCGGGTTTTCTTGGAAAATAAAATAGTGCTGTGCCAAATTTCAAGGAGTGTAGGTGCCTTCTTTTCGCGCCTCCGTGGGGCATGTGCACTACATACTCTACGTTTTAACCTTACTACTTTGGTATATAAGAATCGAAACAGTACTTCGATAGAAACATGGGAAGCCTATTTCATAGGCAATTAGAAAAATAACTGTTAGCCACCCTTCGGTAGCCTTGCTGGCCAAAGAAATTTCGCTCCTATCTATTGTTCACTGAACTTGTGATCGTTAGTTGTGACATGTGTGCAGTGCAAATTTTTTCTTGTTTACCAGAGCGCGCAGAACAGAGGGTTGTTTAGTGAATGTTTTTAAGGACAAACCAGTTGTTAGATTGCGCCCGTTTGTCTTCTCTTCTTTGTCCCCGTGTGCTTGCGCGAACAGTTCGAGATGGAAGTTTTCTACAGTTTGCTAACTAGTTCGTGAATAGTGCCGAGTCGAATAATTGATACATTCCGCAATTTTTAAATTCTAAGCATTTCTTAGTGAACGTCGGCGGCTTTTCGCGTATCTATCTATCTATCTATCTATCTATCTATCTATCTATCTATCTATCTATCTATCTATCTATCTATCTATCTATCTATCTATCTATCTATCTATATATCTATATATCTATATATCTATATATCTATCTATCTATCTATCTATCTATCTATCTATCTATCTAGCTAGCTAGCTAGCTGGTCAAGGTATGCCTCTCTCAGGTTTTAAATATTGTAGTAATGAAATGGACCGGCCTGGCCATTTGAGGAGAGAGAGAGAAATAACAATTATTTATACATCCGGCGCGTAGGAAGACCCCAGCCTCGCAGGGTGCGGATGTTCCCTATCAAGATTACGGCTATTAGTAAAGTCCGATAATCTCAGAGTCTAGACCTCGAGGATGTTGAGCTCTGACTAGGCGACAGTTACGCGGGTGCCTCCGCGCCCGTTAGATAGGTTGTCGGCTCCTTTTCTCCGTTGCTTCGCCAAAGCCTCCTCAAGCCGCTGGATGGCCTTTCGATGTGTCTTCAGGTCTTCGGAGCGTATCCACGCTCTCACCTCTTCGCGATACGTGGCGTCCTGGCACTGCCCGTCCCCACTGTGCATAGCGCTGTTACACCCTCCCCACATGATGTGGCGGAGAGTAGCTAGTTCACCTTCCCGCAGTGGTGATGCATGGGCTAAGCTTTTCATTCTGAGGAATCGAAAGGAATGAAATTGCGGCAAGTCGCTATTCGTCGGTATGGAATCGAGTGCGATGGGGGCATCCAATCTACATAGGCAGACGGGTAAACTACTCCCCTCTTTACTGCTAGGGCCGCGTGATATCACATTTGAGACTGCGAGAGTTTTCAATCTGAAACAGTGGCAGATCTGTTTTTGGTCATGTAGATACATATCATGCTTTACGAGTAATATCGAGTGTTATTATTGTCTTAAAGTCCATTCGTTCACTCGAAAGTGAATTGTTTATTGTCTCGCAGCGGAACACTTCAAACACTATGGTGATATTTTAGCACAAGTAAGGATCAGTTGCTTCTGCACATTGTTTAGTTATAGATTTAATTTTTCCAGAAGATCAGCGTAGCCAGCCTGACTGAGAACTGGATAACCTCCTAGCCCTTTCCTTTTTCTCTCCCTTCCATATGACAAGAGGGAAATAGTCCATGCACAAAGCCCTTCCTTCTTGACTAGCCTAGTTGCAATGCCGTTCTATTATTATCGTCACATGACACTACGTGAAAACATTTTGTGTCTTTAGGTTTCCCGTTGCAAACGGCTATGCAGAGCATAACGCTTCCAAACACCAGGACGAAGGCGAATCTTTCCATGTTGGTAAGTGACGTCATATTTCCCATCAATATTATAGCATGGAAGCACGCCTCATCATGCATTTAATAGCAGAAGTTCATTTTGGCGCGGAAAGTACATAAAAATGCAAATTCCATGTGGCTTCTATGACTGTCGTAGAGTTTCATAGTGATCTCACACATACTAACAAATTGATTGGAAAGACTTTCACATTGCTTAAATAGAGCATATTTGTGATGCAAACAAGTGAAAAAAAAATAAATAAAGCGTGCACTGCCACCTAAAGTCCATCAAATGAATATTAGAAGATCCTCAGAATGCAACACCACACGAGCTCTCTCAGTACCACTCTAAATTTCGAGACACATCAACTTTGGTTACGATGCCCTATTTTTTATCGAAAGAAGTGAGCTTCAGTAAAGGATGAATTGTAAGTGTCTGTTCTTTTCTGAAGAACTGCTATCGAATATTTTCAGATTTGAGGTCCTTTGTTGACAGTCCTCACGTATCAATGTCACAATAACGAAGAACTACGTTTGTTTTCAGGGCAAATTCATGCGGCCGAAAAGGGAACCGCCTTGCCACACCCAGTGTGCAGCAGTGGCGCCTTTGATCATGCCGTACCCAGCACAAGCCGTACGGTCATAGGAGCTTCAGCGTGTGGCGAAAGCACCGTGCGGTAAGGGCGAAATTTTGAGTGCCATTACAGGGAAGCCAGCTTATCGGATGTAGCATAGCAATAGCGTTTGGCTTCACAGAGAAATCCGAGCAGGTATGTGTCATCTGTACTGTCAGATCACGTCATTTAGCGTTCGCCAATCAGGTGCAAGCACGTGCATTGCAGTATGGCGGCATATTCAAATCACATGGGGCCCATTCAAACGTCATTGGCTCATCCGTCAGGTGATGCGATCTCCCTTGCGCCATCGGAAGAAGCATGCGCATTCCAAATCTAACGAATGATTCCCGATATCTCGTGTTCACGCTAGCATCATCAGACCTGCGTCTTCTTTACCATAGGCGCTTGGACGCGAGGAGGGAGGAGGGGAAGGGATGGTGGTCGTCCACCCTAGACACCTAAGGGAGGGGGGACAAAGGACAGCCCCATACAGTGACGTAATTGAGAGATGGGTTCTGCGAAAAACCTTCCCCCTTCCCGAATGGGAACACTCCACACGCCTACCTTCTTTGCCACACGTGATCTTGAAGGACTGTCGTTTGAAGTGCCCGTATGTAGAGGTTGCCGCGTCGAAGACGCAAGCTGCAAGCTCCCGAAGAGGAGAACAATCACGCCCGGAGAGCCGATGACTCCGAAATGCGAGCACGTGAAACCGATGCAACCCTGCCATAAGCTTAACCGCCACTCTATAGAACACGAAGTGCTACTGCAAAAATGGCGCTAGGGGGATCATCTTCCACAGACAGTTTTTCTATTCGAACGCCTTCACGGAATCGATGAGGCGTATTTTTACAACGAAAGTTGTTATGAGATCACAACAAGAGTAGCATGCACTGCAGTTGTCTGCGGTCGCCGCCGCCGGTGCCTGTCACCACTGTCACCCAAAGTGAGAAAAAACTAAGTAAAAAACAAACTGAGACACCATGGGACTCGAACCAGGGTCCTCTGCGTACCAGCCTAGCTATGCCAGTGCTTGGAAATTTGTTGCAAACTGAATCTAGGCAGACTTATTGTAGGAAAGGAATCGCATTAAAAATGTATTAACGCGCTTTACAACAGCAAAGAAACAGTCAGTTGTCATCCTATGGGAATTGTGTAACGAGTGGGTCGCTGAATGGTGCAACTCATTACAAAAGCGCCATGCTTATTTCTTTATCGTCCTCCACTACAGCATTGAAAATTTTCATTGAATTGTTTGCAAGCTTGTAGCCGTGATTACGCATCTCCGCCGATTTTCAAGCTTTCGCATAGACTGTGCTGTTCGTTCAGCACAGCCGTGGTGGTACAGCTGTTATGGTCGAGTATTGCCACGTGTCGTGGATACAAAACCACCGTCCTCATTAACCAACACGCTCTTAGCGACTGCCCAAGCATTCTGTACAGATGATTAACAAGAGATTGTGAAGCATGGAGCCCCGGTATTTACCATGTTTCGTCTCCGTCAATTCTTTGTTACGTTACTACCGAACTCTTAATCGGTGTTTGGTGCCCGTGTGTTCTTTCGTTATTTTGCGAACCAGAATTCTGAGTAATGAGTTTCACTAAATTTCGGAGGCACATACGCATTACTGGAATTTCTAACCACAGATGCGTTATAAAAGAAGTTCGCCGCATGTCGCCGATAGAACGTTATCAGGATCAAGAGTCACCACGCGCTCAATCGCAGGCCAAGAATTCTATAAAAATGGTTAACAAGAGAACCTGAACTATACCCAGCTACACTGTTGTGGTCCAGCTTTGCGCGATTTAGTGAGATCTGGGAAATTTCTTTTTTCTATTTAAAATGCTCAAATGACAGGGAACAGATGCACGTGGGCCATATATGTCTCCATATAAGACTTTGCCTTCAGAATAGAAATAGTTACTCCAAAAATATCAAAAAATCAATGGCAGTATCCAGCATAGTATCCAGCAACGGTCCTCTTTTTATACAGAAGCTTAAGCTGCTTAGATTCTACGCGAATGGATTGAAAACATTTTAAAATGTCACAAAGCTCTCAATTGCGCAAATTAGTGCATGTAGGGTGGACGAAGATGCTTTACTATATATGACTAATGCATTGGAAGGGCTTGTGAATAGCGATTTTAAATATTTAGTCTTTATTTTACAGCGAAAGCTGTTATGAGATCACTTTTCGGGTCACGTGCAGTTGTACGCTGTCGCCGCCCACATCACCGCCGCCGCCACCGTTGTCCGTAACCACATCACGCAAAATTAGAAAAAAAACCTTGGAACAATGGCACAAAGGTGTTTGAAGCCGGGTCTGCTGCGTGCTAGCCCAATATGCTGCTAGTGAGTTACGCTGGTGCTTATAACTTTGCAAGCTTGCCTTACGCTAGAACGGCCTAGCACCAATGGCACACAGGGGCTCATACCCGGGTACGCTGGATGCCAGCCGAGTATTCTGCCACTGAGCTACACTGAGCTACACTGGTGCTTGATACTCGTTGTGAAACTTGCCTTAGGCACGCGTGATGTCGGGAAAGCGATCGCATTATTACGATTTCTAAAGCGTTTTACAACAACGAAAATACAAACAGTCGTCGCACAATGCGAATAGCGTAACGAGAACCACTGGCTGGTGGATTGGGACGCGTTTCGCAAAGTCCGGAAAGAGCAGAATCGTGGCAGTGCGGCTATTGAGGATATAGATAGCTGGACTGCGACGCTAAAGGGGGATTTAGAAATGGCGACGCGGGAGGTTCCGCCAGAAGCACATCTCGAAGTGGCAGACAGCAAACTCCTACACATGTGGGAAGCCAAGCGCAGCCTGCAAGACAGGTAGAAGCGTCAACGCCACAATCGAACGCTGCGCAGACGCATAGCATGGCTAAGCAGGGACATGGAAGAGCACGCGTTACAGGTATGCAAAATGCAATGGGAAGAGATCTGCAATGGGATGGAGAACCAGCTGAGACGGGCCAAGACGTGGCATCTCTTCCGGCACCTCTTGGATCCGGAGGAGACGAAAACATCGCACGCACATAAGCTTAACAAGTTGCTGCACGACTACGAAGGCACCCACACGGACTTTCTAGATGACGTGCGAAGCCGTTACTTTAAGTCACGTAGCCCCCTCGTGCACTCGGCATACGCCTGAGAGGGTGAGGGTAACGCGGAGCTAGACGAGGACTTCAGCGTTGCAGAGGTGAGGGTGGTGCTGCACAGGCTCAACACAAAGTCGGCGCGAGGCCCGGACGGGATAACCAACAAAGCGCTACGTAACTTGGACGATGAGTCGATAGAACAACTGACGGCTTACATGAACGAGTGCTGGAATGCGGGCGCTATACCGAACTCGTGGAAAACGGCGCGCATATATATGATCCCCAAACCAGGCAAACGAGTGCAGATTGACAACCTTCGACCGATATCCCTGACGTCCAACGTTGGTAAGGTCATGGAACATGTGGTTCTCGCTCGCCTTACCAACTACCTCGTGGACCGAAACATGCTCCCACACACGATGCTGGGGTTCCGTCGTAACCTTTCCGCGCAGGACGTTATGCTTCAACTCAAGCACGATATCGTAGACAATCCCACACGATCAACCAAAGTGATACTCGGGCTCGACCTCAAAAAGGCGTTCGACAACGTTAGCCATGCTGCGATACTTGAAAGTATACGAGCGTTGGGACTGGGCGAGAGAACGTACCACTGCGTACGGGATTTTCTTACGGGCCGCCGGGCCCGATTAGCGATCGGCGGACTAGAATCGCAAGACATATACATGGGTTGTACGGGCACGCCGCAGGGCTCCGTAATCTCGCCCATGCTCTTTATCCTCGTGCTTGTCGGATTACCACGAAAACTCGCTGAGATAGAGGGCCTCCACCATAGCTTGTACGCCGATGATATCACCCTCTGGGTTGCCGAGGGAAATGACGGCCACGTAGAGCAAACGCTGGAGGAAGCCGTCGACATGGTGCAGGACTACCTTCGCGACACTGGCCTCGAATGTTCCGCCACTAAATCGGAACTCCTGCTCTATAGACCCTCGCGCAGGGGCCGTAAACCCAAGAACGCCGATTCCGCATTCGAGTGCGCATATAGAGAAAATAATGTACGCACATCAGACGGCGCTGTCATTCCACAAGTTAACACCATTAGGTTACTGGGCTTGCGCCTGTCCGCCAACGGCCACAACGGCGAAACCGTTCGCAGACTAGAGGGCGCGGTCAATGAAACAATCCGGTTGCTGAAACGAATAACAAATCGGCATAGCGGAATGAAGGAAAGCAATACCATTCGCCTGGTACATGCTTTCGTTATTAACCATATAACGTACGTCGCCTCCTACCTCAAGTGGCAGGTGACTGAACGCACCAAACTAGATTGTCTCATCCGCAAGGTGTACAAACGCGCAATCGGATTACCGGCCAACACCAGCACGAAAAAATTTCTCGAGCTGGGGTTGCACAATACTCTAGATGAGATAATTGAAGTACACAACATCGCCCAGTACGAACGTCTGACGAAGACCAGAACTGGTCGACACATCCTCGAGACAATGGGTATCAACTACCATACGCAGCGCGGCGAAAAGGTCGGGATACCCAGACGTATTCGCGAGCACATCGTCGTTCTGCCGTTGCCTAAGAACATGCACCCGACACATCACATCGGTTGGCGCAACAGGCGCGCCCAAGACCTTGAAAAGAAATTCGGCAATAGCAAAGACACAGTTTACGTGGACGCGGCCCGTTACGACTGCCACCGCGGCTTCGCGGTCGCGATCACGGATCATGTAGGAACTTGCGTCACGTGTGCGACGATAGGCACGGAAGAGACGGAGGCGGCCGAAGAAGCTGCCATAGCCCTCGCGATAGCCACCACGGACGCCGAGGTGATAATAGGCGACTCACAGGCGGCGATACGCAACTACGCCAGCGGCCGGATCTCCCGCGAAGTGGCCCGCATTCTCCAAATTCACGAACGCAACATCTGCCGCAAAAACGCCAGTTTCCTCGTATGGACACCCGCCCACACGGACCCTTCGCTTGTGGGCAACGCGACTGCCCACGCCGCGGCTCGAGGACTTACACGCCGAGCTGCGACGCCTGCCGACAGTCCCGATGTCTCGCACACTTCGACAGCGATGCGGGAATGGACGTGGGGAATCGCATGACCACTTTCAGAGACATCACGCAACACTACAGACTGAAGAGATGCAAATATCCACCACCCCACGCCAAACTAAACAAGAAACAGCAGGTTGCCTGGAGACAACTACAGACACACACGTACCCGAATCCGGTGATCCTTCGCCTCTGCTACCCAGGCATTTATACGTCCGACGCGTGTAAGGCGTGCGGAGCCAGAGCGACGCTGCAGGACATGCTGTGGCAGTGTACCGGTAACGCGCAGCAGTCTCCTAAGAACCCGGTAGACATGGCAGTCTCGAACCGCGAGGCGCGATGGGAGGCGGCTCTGCTCAGCCACGACCTTGCCGATCAACTGTGGGCCGTCCGGCAAGCCCAGGATGCCGCCCGGGTCTAAGGACTCGAGGCCGTCACCTAGGCCGGGGTGCTTGTAGCCCCACCCCGATAAATGACGCCAGACATGTTCAATAAAGTTTTTACTCACTCACTCACTGTCAGCCACTGCATGACCATATGGCACAAAATTCCTTGCAAGGGTTTAGGGGATAGCACTCTTCTCAGAAGAATGACAAAAAAAAACAGCATGGTGAAAGCCAGCCTACTACACAAAAAATTATTATTAATGGCCTAGTGGGTACCAAGCAAGTGTGCTTGCAGTAGTTACCCAATAAGTGTTTTGAAAAGGTCTTAAAGACCGCTTTTGTAGCTTTCGCTGTGACATTGCAGAGCCTACCATGCAGGCCCGGCGTTTTTTGCAACTGTACGATAATTTCAATACTACGCCTTTATTGTGTCAATGCACGTCACTGGAACCTGCTTTATTTATTTATTTCTTTATTTTGAAGATGATATTATTTTGTCACGTCTAGTGGTAGAAAGTTTTGTACGGTGACTAAGTTCATTAGGAAAGTCGTACGTTCAGTGAAATCGCGAGCTTTGGGGGTCATTGCTTTAGAGGTAACATTGATTCTTACAGCCTTGCGAATGTACCACACATCAACAACCCCTGGAGTAGCTCCGGAATATTGGCGTCGTGTATTACTAAAACGAGCTACAGTGAACAAAGAAAAACGACAACCATCTTTTGCTTTGTTTCAGCACAGAAAGCGGCCGTAATCGGTTACATGTGTTATCTACGCCAGATGACGTTTTTTACATCTGCATAAAGTTATTTTGCTTGGGAGAATATGCAATGTAACATTTTGCAAAGCCTGCAGAACAACGTTGTGCCAATGTGCTCAGCTGGAAGTCGGGTCGGCTTAAAAAAATAGGTACCGCAAACAGTCTGGGACGTGATTGTAGGTCTAAAGTCATTCTAAAAAAAAAAAGAAGTCTCCTGACTCGATACTGAAGATTTTCTCCGTTTTAGATGCACGAAAGGTTGATTAGAAGCTCATCTCAAGTGACTGTACATACTGTCTGGTCACATTGAATAGTAATTAACGAGTAGGCATTGACTATTGAATAATTACATCGAGGACATTTTGTAAGTTTGAACATAAAATAAACCAGTCTGCACTTCTTCAAAAAAAAAATGTGTGTGTACCTTATGCACCGATCTTGAGTTGTTGCTGAACAATGTTAACAAATGCTAAACAAAAATGCGTAATGCTAAAGAGTACGATTAAGCAAGTAGGCCTTATTTAAAAGCTATCATGTTTATCCCAACTGTCTATTGGCAAAAAATAGGCTGCTGTCCTTCCACCAAATTGTGTATGTGTCGTATTAGATGCGTTGTCTCATATTGTAGGGACGCTACTGGCTTCTCACAGAGGGAAAAGTGCGAGGATCTGAGCGTTGTCTACGGCGACGTCAACCGCGGCCAGAAGCCACCGGGCGAGCGACGCCACACGTGTCATGTGTGTGACAAATCATTTCGAGACAAGAGCAAACTCAAGAGACATTGGCGCACGCATACGGGCGAGAAGCGCCATCATTGCTTCATATGTCAGAAGTCATTCTCAGAAAAGAACATCCTCACAGATCATATGCTCACACATACAGGTGAGAGGCCCCATCGTTGCAACGTGTGCGATAAATCATTTGTACAAAAGAGTGCCCTCGCAAGACATCTCCGCGTGCATACAGGAGATAAGCCATATCAGTGCAGATCATGCTATAAATCATTTTCACGAAATGATAACCTCAAAGTTCATTCGGCACGCATACAGGCGATAAGCAAAATAATTGCGGCTTTTGCGATAAATAATTTGGACAAAAAAGTGACCTCACAAGACATCTGTGTGTGCACACAGGCGAGAAGCCATAATGTGTGCTACATGCGCTGAATCATTCGCACCGGCGGGATATTTCGGATATTTTCGTCAGCACGAACACACCAACAAGCGTCAGAAGCCTTAAAATTGCAACGTACTGGCTAAATAATTTTCACAAAAGGACAGTCTCGCATTACTTCACTACATGCATACAGGCGAGAAGCCCTATCATTTCCACATGTCAGATAGATTACGTGAACTAAAAGGTTGATCTTGTGGCACATCGCCCAATGCCCGCATAATACAAGTCTTACCATTGCAACAGCTGTGGTAGATCATTTGCCGAAAAGTCTGCTCTCGTGGCACTCCACAGGCGATAATTCCTCAAGCGCACTACCTGCTCTAATTCTTTGCATGGCTACGGACGCTTCGTTCACATAAATGTATGCATACACGTGAGATGGTCTTTAAATACAAGTTGTGTGCCAGTTCATGGAAAGCATCAGCTCTTGAAAGGCATGAACGCACGCAGAGAGTCAAGGAAGCATGAGCCTGCCAAAAAAGAACAAGGTCACTCATACAGGCGATGTACCTCCGTGTGATGACGTTTTTAGAAATTCATCGTCATACCTAATGGCAACCAGACGTTGACACTTCCACACTCCCATGGCTGCGTATGCATTCACTAGGGAACTGTATGAGCCATCATTCGCTTACAATACAAATTTTGTACATATAGCAAGGTTAGATTTTAGCGCCAAATTTTATGTGCTATTGATGCGCCGAAACTTTTAGACGTGTAACTAATCCTATTGATCCTGAGAAGCACACGCGGTTACTATCACAATCATTTGGCTGTGTATCAGTGCAGTGGCAAATATTTACAATGATCATGAGTGTTGAATTTTATTCCTTAGTGCCGCATCAGTGTTTTTTAACATTTAACTAATCTTTCTTCACGAAGAGCACTCGTCGGCCTCGTCATATTATGTCAGTTGTCTACCTCGTTACTACCTAAATGTGCCAACATTTGTTTTGCGTAAAAGGTCTTAATTGCGAGCCATGAGTGAACACATGTAGTAAACTTTATGCGCGATTGGTGCATCGATGTCTTTAGAAACGTAACGGACCTGATAACTCAAGACAAGCAATCGTGGGCACCTATTGCACATCAGCTGGACTTTACCACAGAAAAGCCGAGGGAAACTCGCCTGTAATTGCGCGCAACAAGTTTGAAAGGTTCGCAGGTGGGTCTCATTCGGCGAGACATGGGAAGCGAGTGGGTAACCTTGGAAATAGTCAGTCGATTCGCTCATGCCACTGGTGCCCTGAAATAACGGCTCGACCCACGGAAACCTCACTTTGCGGTTTCATAAAAATGATCACTTTTATCTTCTACTTCACACTCACACACCTCTCTACCTTTTTCACCATAGAAATGTGCAATTAGTCATTCCACGTTAAAAGATGTATAACGAACCACTGAATAATAAATGTGCTTGATCTCGTCGTGTTACGACTGCAATAGAAGAAGTGGTCGGTTCTCTTCTTGGTGAATCCAGCGAGCACTAGGTGACCTTCTGACTTCCTCACTTGGAGTTGTAAAATCAGATGATCTCAGTAGGTGCATACCTGGTGTGGAAAACGAAGGATTGGGAAGAATCTCGGTTAACGAACCTACTCTGTTGCTGTGCCCTGTGATGCAGCAGATGTACTAATGTGTGTTTCGAACAAGCGTAGTAACCCTATTCAGTTCATTCTTAAACACCATGTGACAATTTGTTTGCTAGAGGAGGAGGAGAAAGAATATGGTGTCATGCAGCTGTTGTTCAGCGCACAAAAGTGCACTGCTGGTCAGGCATCTAGAAGACGTTGATTCCTAGCGGCTGCCTCTTCCCGCTCCGTGACCCACTCTTTTGTTTCCGATTAGGAGCTGAGCAACGCTGCTTCCCATTGGTGAAAGGCAGTGATATGCGCAGTTTGAGGAATACACGGTTCCTGTATTTTACGGCAGCTCCAGAGGATACGCTAAAGACTGGCGTGCTCTCTTTGGCACTTAACATCTGGGGCAAACTGAGAGGTTAATGCATGATAGAAAGAATGGGATCTAAAAAAATTTGTTAGCAGCCAGCGTCACACTTTTGCAAATACGCCACGATTGAAGTGATTCCGCCAGGAGAAACCGTTGATTATAATAGCCAGACATTCCACCCTAATTCGTGTGTTTTAAAACGACTGTTGAAGGCCTTGGCTCACCAAGACTGATAAAAATAAATTTGAATACACACAAAAAAGAAACAAGAACACTTCAAAAGACAAAAAAAATTCTTCAGAACCCACATGCCTGGAAATCAACGTTATGCGAAGCATGCGGAGGGAAAATGACCACGTTGCCTTTTTTTATCAAGCGACACGTCATGAAATGACGCAAAATATATGTGCAAATGTTGCGCGCACATACATATGTTGCAGAGTTTCAGATGTTTATATAACCAGTTGTTTGCACTTGCACAACGATGTCAACTGGAACATGTGTTTTAGAAACTAGAAGAAGGGATACGAAGCCCTGATGCTCGTGGTGATGCTGGCCCGGGACTTTGCTACATAAATACACTTCAGCGCATAGCAACTAAACACAATTGACGTTAACCCGACGTCACGGCTGTATGAAAGGAGTACATATTTAATGTTTATAAAATTGGGTAGGCAGAACTGCAATAACTATTTACGTTTGACGAAGACTGTCGTATATTTGAAAAGTGGTTCCGAGACCTTGCCTAGCTCTGTGGTAGAATGCTTGACTGCCACGCAGAACGCTTGGGTTTGATTCCTGCTGGAACCCTAAATTTCATTATTTGCATTCGTCGGGGGGTCAATGCTGCCTATGTCAAGTCTTTATTAACCATGACATTTATTCTATGCCTTCGTTGGGTCAACGCTACCAATGTCTGGTATTGCTTAACGCTCACGCGTTAAAATTGCCCATGTGTGTTTTTGTCGTTCCTGGGTAGAAACTAAGTGTCAATCACCTGTGGCACATACCCGCATACCAGTGGCACATACCCGCCCGTAGGTATAAATATGACGTGCTTGACGCGCTTGGTTCGCAGACGTTCTTGACTTTGCAAGGCTGTTGAGGGATACATCGAGAAGTGAAGCCAGCCTAGCAGTGACGCTATCAATTACGATATTGCGTTTTCTTCCTGAAGATGGAGCTGAAGCGTTTCTGTTTTTCGAGCGACAAATAATAGCGTGGTGGCCGGGAGATACGTCAGGGGGTAAACTGTTCGAGGGAATAAATCGATAAAAGATTAAGCACTGCCGTGATGCGCGCACAACGTAACGCGAGTGGCAGAAGAGTAGAAATGGCTAATCGGGATGTCTGACAAAAATATATATGAAGTTCAGGAATATAAGAAAGGAGAAACTATTTCGGGTATAAATAATAAGTTTGTCCCCTTCAGAGGTTTCGCCTCATGTTCAGTTCCTTTATATGCCATAATAATGCAGTGTAATAGTGCGTTCAGTTTTTGTTAAAAAATAATAAAACACGCGTACGCATGTCCTCCTAAAGAACGATTCAGTGGTAGCTGTGCAGATTTCTCCAGTACGTACAGACAGCCTGTGCTACCTTAACGGTATTTACCGAAAAAGGCTACCTCGCTGGTGCGGACGGATTATTGACACAAAAGAGATATCTACCCTTTTCATCTGTCCAGATTGATTCGTCATGCCAGCTGTCTAAGCATAGGCCACTGTCTTTATTTCCACGCGTTTTCCACATATAGCTTAGTTTGTTGCTTGTTTCGTACACACTTAACACACACGATAACATTACATTTATAACCTGACCCGCAATACAAGCAGGATGCCAAAGTATTTTGACGTGGAAAGAGCGTATGGACACTTTCTTAAGAAGTGCTGAGGTAAGAGATAAAGAACCGGTGCCCTGGACATTGTGTCATGCTTGTGGGTGCCGCAATTCAAAGCAAACTTTCTTTTGCCGCACACCTTTCGTTGTTGTCAGCCATTGTGAAGGCATATCCTTGTGGATCATGCGGTACATCATTTGCACAAAAGGGCGCCCTCACGACACATCCCTGCATACATACAGGCGAGAAGCCATATCATTGCAGCTTTTTTGATAAATCATTTGCACAAAATGGCACCCTCACTACATATCTCCGCATGCTACAGGTGACAAGGCATATCCTTGTGGATCATGCGGTACATCATTTCCACAAAAGACGCCCTCACGACACATCTCTGCATACATACAGGCGAGGAGCCATATAATTGCAGCTACTGCACATGCACTCAACCGCAAAGTACTCCAGCCAGACTCGCTTTTCATATGACGGCCGTGTTCGAATCATACCGCTGCATAAAACTTGCTACGTCTGTTTACACAGTCATTTTAGTGAAATTCGAGACAAGCTCTTTCGGTGAGTCATCAGAATAGCTGAAGGGTGACGAGCGCTCACCTAAAGACCATGACGCCCTTTTGACTACGAAGTGCACCTAAAACGTGCGACATGTTGAGACGTGCAAAACTCGAAGTTACACTTCATAAAGCAAAACAAACTATATTAGCTACTTGGTTCGTTTGGCATCTTTTTATGAACAACATACTGTAGAAAATAAAGTAATGCTGTTTCGTATGATATTCGCGCGGAAAACATAGACGCATTTGTGGGACTATATTTTTCAGCGGTGAAACATGCCCACTTTGATTTCGTAGCCTTCCCTTTATTGACACAGAAAGTTTTCACCGAGTTTAGCAAAACAGCCACTAGCGCACTATGAGCGTAGCTTGTAGTCATTTTTTACAGGTGACGCGTGTCAAGATTACTATGTTTGGACCTGTCCTTTACTTTCGTCATTTATTTACGTCACGCTATACCAAATGTGGTATATATGAGGCTAGCGAAACGGTCGCGAGCGCATCATGAACGTGGCATGTATTCTTGTTCCCACATGACACGCATATCATGATTTCCACGTGAGGGCCTCTCCTTTATGTTCGCATTGCAGTGATGTCATACCATACCAGTTTTGCATTATGTCATGTGAACGAAACTACCCCAAGAACAGCAAGAGCATCACGTGTATTTCATGACATTCATGACATTTCAAGATTTTCATGCTATGACTGGTCAGCTATGCTCGACATACTGTCAGGTTATGCCATACCAATTTTGTTATAGCTCCCGTTATCGAAACGGCCAGGAGAGCTAAATGTAGAGATAGATAGATAGATAGATAGATATATAGATAGATAGATAGATAGATAGATAGATAGATAGATAGATAGATAGATAGATAGATAGATAGATAGATAGATAGATAGATAGATAGATAGATACGGTCACACTCGCCGAAGTTTGCTAAGAAATTTGAGTCTGCTCTCGTGGCATACCTAGATACACGAACGGGCGAGAATTCATTAAAGTCAACTACCTGCCCTAAATCTTTTGCATGGCTATGAAATCTTCGTTTACATGAAAGCATGCATACGCTTGAGAGGTGTTATATATGCATGTTCTTTGCCAATTTATGGAAGGCATCATAAGCTCTTCAAAGGCATCAATGGACGCACAGAGGTGAGGAAAGTGAGCCTGCCAAAAAAAGTCACAGATTTGCCGTAAAGGCGAAGCAATTAACGCGACAGCAACAAATTCGAAGGGCACGCGCAGAATCGCAAGCAGATCAAAACGGGACTCACGTTTCTCACGCACAGATGACGCACAGATGACGCACAAAACGTATTCGCAGGTACATACGAACGCGAATAAACATCTCAGTTGTTACTTCGTCCTGTCTGAAAAGCGCGCCATTTTCGCAAACGGAGGATGCGCAACAATTGGAGGGACAAGACGATAGTTATGTCATGCCGTACCAACTAGTCCAAGCCACCATATTTCTAGATTACAGTGACCTTTGTCTGCCCGGTAACTACAAAAGAACACGTACGAGATGTACGACCTCCCCAAAGCTAGATAAGGACGCGCGATCGAGCGTGCACCCCCTTCTTCTCGACGTGGGCCAAAGCACGTGTGAGAGATGAGAGCTGCCGCACGCTCACTGCGCCATCTTGCTGATAGTGCGGAAAACACGACAGGGGTTTCCCCCGAATATGAGCGCCAACAGCGGTAAGTGGCAGATATGTATAGCTTGCCGTTTGAACGTCCCAAGAGGCACCCCACAGTGGCTCTTTGGTAGTGCCTCGCATTCACAACGCCGAGGT